CGGCCTCCGCCGCCCAAACTTTTCTCCGGGCGAGTCTCCCGGCTGCGGCCGCCCCCAGGCATGGGCGCCGCGCCGCAGGGGGCCTGACCCCGCGCCAGGTCCTCCCGCCGCGCCATGGCGGCCCGCGCGCCCCCAGCCGCACCTGCGGCCGAGGAGCCGGGGGGCCCGGGCAGCCCCCCGCGCAAGAAGAAGTCTCGCTCGGGCCTCCGCCGCGCCTTCAGCTGGCTGCGGGTCAGGCGCCGCAAGAAGAAGGCGGCGGGGGCCGAGGGCGCCGAATCGGCCGCCCCCCGGGCTAAGAAGGCGGACGACAAGGCCAAGAGGGCCAAGGGCAAAGGCCGAGGTAAGACGGCCGGGCACCTGGACTGAGCGCCGGGAGGCGCCGAGGGTGCGGCCGGGGCGGCTACGCTGGGGGTCCGCGGCATGTTGGAGATGGGTGACTCCCTAGCTGTTGGTGCTGGGGGAGCGAAGAGCCCCGGACTCAGGCCGAGCACCCCCTATCATGTGCTGCTCCCATGCACTTTTCAGACTCTGCTCTGCCTCACTCTGAGGGGAGGGACCCCCGGCTGGGGCAAGGATCCACTGGCTTAGGCAGGAAGTGCTGGCAGTCTGGCTTTCGGGGCGGTGAGACAAATTCCCCCTCCCCCAAGCTCACCCTGCTCCTGCCCTCTGCTGAGTCAGGGGGTGAGAGACTTGACTCTGGCCTGGGGCCAATGGGAGAGGCAGGTGGCTTTGGGTGTGTGTGTGGGGTCCCTCTGGGTTTGGAAGGTCAGCTGTACTGGAAAGGAGCTCTGGATCTGAGTTCCCACCCTCATAAAGGACCCAGTATAGAGCAAAGCATGCTTTAGGTTCTTAACTGTGTTAGCTTTTCCCACCTGGCTCCCCTCAGGGCTCACCTGGGCCAAACCACAAACATCCACCTCCTGGGGTGGTGAGCTCACCATGGTATCCAGCAGCCGCTTAGCATCATTCCTTCCCCTAGCCCTGGCAGAGACATGCCAGTGTCCGGAGTGTGCTTGCAGATGGGGGAAACTGAGGTCCAAGTTAAATGGTGAGGCTGTACCTGGGCTGTATTTACAATGCAACAGCTAATTCCCAGTCTTTCCGAGTTTGAGTCCCTAGGCCCCTTCGGCCTCATAGATGGGCAAGTTGAAAGGAGGGGATGATGACCTAGCATATCGCTGCTAGGGTCATTTTGCTTTTGGCCACTTGCTTGGGTCTTCCCTCATCTCCCCGTTTCTGTCTTCCTTTTGGTGTGGAGAGTGTGAGTCTCTGCAAGAGGGTAGGGATCAGAAGTCTACCTTTCCTTTACTGCTGCTGCATTGCTGGAGGTGAGGAAATGGCGGGGTGTGTGTGTGGGCCCATCCCATTCCGCCTGTATTTACCCTCCCAGTGTCCTTTAACCACCTCCTCTGGAGGAGAATTAGAAGGAACACTTTAGGGGTCAGGAAAAGGGTAGAAAGCCTCTTGTGTGATTGCATCCGGCTTGATCTTCCTTTTGGATAAAGGCCCTACTCCCTTGCGGCCCAACCACAAGTGGAAGTCAGGGACTGGGGTTGGTATGGCTGGGCCAAACCCTGAGGGAGGGTTTGGGTGAGGGGTGTTTCCAAGGGCTTTGCAGTCCTAGCAGGACATGGAGTTTGTCCCAGGGCTGCCCCACTGGGATTCCATCTGAAGTCATCCCCATCTCACACAAGTAGGCATGGGTCCGAATTGCAGCAGGATGGATTGTGGTCAGACTATCAGGACTGGCAGGCAGATGGCTAGTGGACCAGTAATGTACCCCAGGGCAGATCAGTGTGGAGGCAGGGGGCTGGAAAAGCTGAGCCTATAGGTCCTTGCTATAGCAGTTCAAATTTGGGGCCATGGGGTCATTGGCCAAGCATTTCCCTGCCTTGTGTTTGGTATTGGGTGGCACTGGGCTTTCAGAGCAGCAGGTTGGCCTGATCTGAGCCCACGTGCATGGGCAGCACCTGCCTGCCCTTGGCTGTTGTTTCCCTAGGTCTGGGGGTTGCCCCAGGTACACTGGAGGAAGTCCTGTTCCCTTTTGCTCCAGTCCCCTATTATTGCAATTGTTTCCTTGTCACCTGCCTGGCCCAACTTCTTTTTTGTTTATTAAGAGAAATAAATCTGATCCTTCTAATCTCCACTGGCACTGTTGGCCAGGAAGGGGAAGCCTAAAGAAGGCTTAACTCTTCCAGGGAGAATGTTCATAATGGAGATGGGGGAGGTGGTGAGAAGGCTACCCAGAAAATTCCTGGGAGGTCAGGGGCCTTTATCTCTTCTGCTCTGTTCTGATCTCTGAACCAAAGATCCAGAGATGCAGCCCTGGCTGCTGTAATCTTTTTTTTTTTTTTTTTTTATTAAAGACAGGTCTTACTTTGTCATCCTTGGTAGAGTGCTATGGTGTCACAGCTCATAGCAGCCTCCAGCTCTTGGGCTTAGGGTGATTCTCTTGCCTTAGCCTCCCGAGTAGCTGGAACTACAGGCACTCACCACAACACCCAGCTATATTTTTTGTTGCAGTTTGGCTGGGGCTGGGTTTGAACCCGCCACCCTCAGTATATGGGGCTGGTGCCCTACTCACTGAGCCACAGGTGCCGCTTTGGCTGCTCTAATCTGACTCTTGTACTGTGAGATGGGGAAACTGAGCTTGTAATAATTTTAAGCACCAATCTTCCAGGATTCCCCTATTGCCCTCTCTACCCTGCACAGACTTAGAAGAGAGGAAATCTGACATTTATTGATTATTCTGAATGTGTCAGGAACGCTGTATCCATTGTCTCATTTGCAGATGAAAAAAACTGAGGCTCAAGAATGGTGAATGAGTGATTTGACCAAACTGGGATTTATTTATTTATTTATTTTTGAGACAGAGTTTCACTGTGTTACCCTTGGTGTCACAGCTCACAGCAACCTCAAATTCTTGGGCTTAAGTGATTCTCTTATCTCAGCCTCAGAAGTTGCTGGGACTGCAAGTGCCTGCTACAATGCCTAGCTATTTTTTCTTTTTTTTTAAGAGATGAGGGTCTCACTCTTGCTCAGGTTGGTCTCAAACTCCTGAGCTCTCACAATCCACCCGCCTCCAGCCTCCCACAGTGCTGGGATTACAAGTGTGAGCCACCTCGCCCAGCCTCAAACTGGGCTTTAAACTCAAATCACCTGCCTCCAAAAATGGAACTGTTGCCATGACTCTCTTAAGGACATAGATAGAGGGTAAGGTTTAAAGATCTTCTCATCCAACCCACTTTACAGATGGGAGATGGCCCAGAGAGATTTGCAGAAACTTGATAGAGGGGAGAAAGTATCAGAGTCAGGTACATGAGAGTTTAAATCCTAGCTCAGCTACTTGTAGGCCGTGTGACATTGGACAAGTAACTGCTCTGGGGCCTCACTGATTCTATTATTGTCTCAAGGGGAAGAAAGGGTATCATAGGGGTGATCCTCTGGCTGGACATAGCCTTGGTAGGTCTGTGATCCTTCTGTTTCGCCAAGATTCTCATAAGACAATCCTAGCACTCTAGGAGGCCAAGGCAGTAGATTACGTGAACTCAGGAGTTAAGATACCAGCCTGAGCAAGAGCAAGACCCCATCTTTACTAAAAATAGAAAAACTGTCTGGGCCCTGCGGCAGGAGCCTGTAGCCCTAACTACTTGGGAGGCTGAGGCAAGAGGACTGCTTGAACTCAGGAGTGTGAAGTTGCTTTGAGCTATGATGCCACAGCACTCAACCCTAGGACAATGGAGTAAGACTCTGTCTCCAAAAAAAAGAAAGAAAGAAAAAAAAAGATTCTCAGAAGAGAAGATAGAAATTTTTTTTGTTGTTGCCCTCGGTAGAGTGCAGTGGCATCACAGCTCACAGCAACTTCCAGCTCTTGGGCTTAGGTAATTCTCTTGCTTCAGACTCCTGAATAGCTGGGGCTAGAGGTGCCTGCCACAATGCCCGGCTATTTTTTTTGTTCCAGTTTGGCCGGGGCCAGGTTTGAACTTGCTGCCCTAAGTATATGGGGCCAGTGCCCTACTCACTGAGCCACAGGCGCTGCCCAGATATAAAAATTTTTATTTTTATATTTTTAATTTTTTGTAGAGATGGGGGTCTTGCTATGTTGCAAGATCATTCAGGCTGATCTTGAATTCCTGGCCTTAAGTGATCCTTCCACCTTGTGGCCTCCCAAAGTGCTGGGATTATAGACTGAGCCTCCATGCCTGGCTGGAAATGAAAATTAAAGAGAAGTCACCATAGAAATGAAAGGGGTTGCTATTATTGTGTTTATAAGTTTAGTCACCTGAGCTCTTAAGGACCCAGTCTGTAGGGCTGATGAGAACAACTCTGCTGCCCTCCATTGTACGTGAGGCTGGCAGGTTATTTATTTCCTCTAAACCTTAATTTCCTTATCAGTAACATAGGTGTAATCAATCCTGGCTTTCACGGGTATTGCAAAGATTAAATTAGATAGCAGACATGTAAGGCTTTGTGAATTTGGGGAATATGATGCAGAAAGTGGCAGGTTTCTGCTGTTGTGGTGCTGAGGTCTTGGGCAGTGGATAAATTCATCCTGATTCATGTCTGGAAAACAACTCACTTGGCTATACCTCAGATGCCCGTCATGGTGATGATTACTGAGCAGGATTCACAGAAGGTGGAGTCTCACCTTTGTCTAATTGGAAGACTCAGACATAAGAAAAAGTTAAAAAAACAAAACCAGGGATCCATATTCTCCTGAAATATCACCTAGACTCCAGACAAGTGTATGGGAAGGAAGCGTTTCTTTCTTTTCTTTTTTTTTTTTTAGGGACAGAGTCTCATTTTATCGCCCTTGGTAGAGTGCCATGGTATTACAGCTCACAGCAACCTCCAACCTCAGACTATAGGCGCCCGCCACAACTCCCAGCTATTTTTTTGTTGCAGTTTGGCTGGGGCTGGGTTCGAACTTAACACCCTCCATATATGGGACTGGTGCCCTACTCACTGAGCCACAGACTCTGCTCCGGGAAAGAAGTGTTTCTAGGACAGATGCTAGGATTAGAGCCCAGAGGATAATCAGGAGAGGCTTTCTGGAGGAGGTGGGCAGATTGGAAGGAGGGCAGAGTCCTGGCTGATCTGAAGAAGAGAAGTAACAGGAAGTCTGCTATGTACCAGACCCTGGCCAAGCTTATTTTTTTGCGGCAGAGTCTCACCTTGTCACTCGTGGTAGAGTGCCATGGTGTCACAGCTTAAAGCAACCTCAAACTCCTGGGCTTAAGTGATTCTCTTGCCTCAGCCTCCGAAGTAGCTGGCACTATAGGCACCCACCATAACACCTGGCTATTTTTTTTTTGTAGAGACAGTCTCACTCTGTTGCCC